GAGGTTAAAGTACTCCGGCCAGTTCACCACGGAGCATCGATGAACCATGCTTTCCGCTTCGGCCTTGGTGGCGTTTCCGAAACCCCTACGCTGCTCCTCATACGTTGCTGCCGAATGGCAGTACACGGATGCCCCGCTCCCGTCTCCTGCTGCCGGCATCCCCCACTGCGACGGGGTTAGCCAGTCGCACCCCACCTCTTCCGCGAATATTTTTGCGGCAAGATGTCGCATTGTCATGCTCCCGACTCCGTCCGCCTTCACTACCGCATCCACCAGGCACGGCGACCCTTGCAATGAAAAGGTACGCGAAGGCGGGAACAAAGACGCCTGCATATTTCCTACTGCTGTTGGTTTTGGTTGTCGTCGGCCATTTGAATCGGCACGAGGATTGAGTTTGACTTGCATAGGCAGGAGTTCAGACAGCACGAGACCCACCGTTTGGGGCGAGCTCTCTACTACTCTATCCCTGGAGCAGGCTCAAGTCGAAACATTAGTTAGACCGGGGTAGATTTCCGCTTTTTCTGGAGATCCTGAACGAACGATTCCATCACACTCAGAAGCCCTTCCGACAGCATACCACTGGGGGCTCTCTGCCCTTGCCCTACTACATCCCCGCCGAAAACTAGGTCTTCCAGTTTCTAGTTCTTGTTTTCCCATCCATATCCATGGTGCTACTATCTTGTGCCCGCACACCTCGTGCCCGCATGTCCGCCGCGCATTCTTTCAAGAGCTCTCGGTTCGCGTAGGAAGCCTGCAGCGAAGCGGGCAAGGTGGCCGTCCAAGACGCCCAAACGTCCATGCAGTCGGCCGCCGACCAGTAGCTTTCCAACGAAGACGGCAAGGAAGGTGGAGGAACCGATGCATCCCTAGTACTACCATTGTTAGCAGTGTCGTGTTCTGATGCGGCGATATCTTGCTGGTGGTAGAACTCCTGGCATGCCTGGGGAGGGACAGGCGTTCTCTTCTGCTGCTCAGCTTTGACCTCGATAGCGAGTGCTGCGGTTGCTGTCGATGTCACCCGCGGCAGGCATGGCGTTAGCTGGAGCAGACAATGAGCCGTTGTTGCTACCCACCGCCACACCAGGGGGCGGGGAGCCCACATTCATCCGCGTTGCGCCTGGTGGCGATGCGGTTTATCCTGGTATTTGTGTTGACAAGGCGTGTGTCAAGCATCGAAACGGACGCCAGCGGTTAGCACGAGCGATCGTCGCTAGCTCGCCATGTTCAAACACAGGTGACAGTTGCGTCGTGCTATTGGGAAGTGGTGCTATGTTCAGTTCAAATGGCGTACCATGCATGGCTGTGAAAGAGAGCCACCATGACGCATGCATAGGGCACATGAGCACGTTCATTTCGTTCCCTGTATCGGTTGCTTTCAGTGCACACAGCGTAAGGGTGCAAGGCTGGTTTGTCACCCCCTGTATCCTTCACAAGATATTTTTATGCATACATTGATAATGTCTCCACTGCTGTCGAACACAGGCTCTCAAAAGTATTGACTGGAGATCGACTAGTCATATCTTGGCGCATGATTTTCTGGGTGCAAACAGACCCAACCGAAAAAAAAATCAAATACTCAACAATATCTTACCTCTACCCTCGGGAATTTTGTTGCCGAACCGGCTATGAATAAGAGCTTTACGTGCAGGTTGTACGTGGTTGGTCGAGAGATAGATAACGCGGGAAGTTCTGTGTGCCAAGCTTGGATGTCGAGGATTTGCAGCGTCCCATTTGAAAAGCAACGTTAAAGAAGAAACATTACCGTTCGGAACCATCAGCAAAAACCAATCGACTCCGGAATGAGACTCTGCGAAGGGTGCTGCACGTGGACAAAAACTGAAATCAGCACCAGTAGGGACATGCCTATTGCAGGAGCCCTGTATCACCAGGACACGTTCAAGCGCTCTTGATGATGCATCTCCACTTCCCACCACTTACACAGTCAAACGCTTGGCTAAGCGTATGAGAGTAAACGAACTCCGGGAGACCACGGAGTGAGTCACGGAGACCTCATGTTGCTGTATTGGTGGTGTGCTCGGTCGATAAAGCATGTGGGTGCAAGGCTGACTTTTCACCCTTACCTATGCACACATCAATGACGTCTCCACTTCTATCGAAAACAGGTTCTCAACAGTTGTGGCTGGGATCGCCTCTTCATGTTTTGGCGTATGATTTTATTATTGCAAATAGACCTAATGGATGAATAAAGCAAAAAATATCTTGCCTCGGAGATACGTTCCCCTACTCTCGGAAATAATCTACAAGGTACGTGGGTTGTACGTTGGTTGATCGAGAGATAGACAAAGCGGTAAAGGTTGTGTGTGAAGTATGGGTGTCGAGGATTTGCAGAAGGGTTGCATCTTGAAGTTTGACGTCTGAGAAGAAAAATCAAAGGTAAGATATCACTACTGACAATCGACTCTGGGAGCAAGGGCGCACAAAATATTTTTTCCCGACACCTAACCCCCAACACTTTATTTTGTACCTCTCCGGAGTGGGGGGAGGAGGTAGTACCAAGCCCCCCCCCTCCCCCCCCCGAACGCCGCACGATTCCTACTCTACGACATGCCCATAGTGAATCCTATATAAAGGGGGCATATTTCATGCACGGGGGTGGTACAGTCCACGCAGCCCTGGGCGAGCTTATGTGTACCGCAGCCGACGGTACCGTAGCAGAAGAGAGTGGGAGATAGCTTGGGAGCTTGAAGAAGAGTGGTCACGATGAATACAGTGTCCGTGGGGAGGGGGGAGGGGGAGGGCGAAGGCGCTCGACCCAAGAGCTTGAAGAAGCGGCGGTTTATTCTTCAATTTGACGGCGGTCAAGGGGCTTCGAGAGTGAACAATAAGTACAACGCACGGCGAATAATTGTATTTGTGTATGCATACGGGTGATGCATACGACAAAGGTGATGCCATCGCTGTAGGCTCATCGCCAGCCCCTCTCCGGTATAATATTTTCCTGCTTGAGTAGGCTTGGAATGATGATGCTTCGACGCGTGTTTTTTTGTGTCCTTTGGTTCTGGTGTTTGTTTTGATTATTGTTTTGTCGTATTTGCCCGAGGTCAAAATGTCGCGCTTAATTCTTCGAGACCTGGAAACCAACTGCATGCTGCATGAAGTGTCCGCAGCCCATCACAGCTACTATACGAAGTACTTCCCTACAATATGTACCATCTTTCTCAAACTCATCAAAATACAAATAAAGGGTCCTTTGCGAACGTGCCGTAACCACACGCACACGCAAGCACACGCAATTGAGCGAGAGGAACTCCAAGAAAGCCCAGCAGAAAAAGAAAAAGAAAACTGTTTTTCGAGAAATCAGCACCACCAGCGTAACACGCCTGTTGCAGGAGCCCTGTATCACCAGAAACTCTTGATGCATCTCCACAACCCACCACTTGGATACGAACGCTTGGCTGTAAGATATGAGAGGCAACAGACTCCGAGAGATCAGGGGGTAAGTCAAGGAGGTCTCATGTTGATGTTTGCATACGCCGAGTGTATTGTACAGAGCTGTAGGTGGGCGACAGCAGGGCCAGTTGATTATTCCGTTAGAAAAAAATGCCCGTGCAAGAGAATCTGTGGAGGCTGATGATCACGCATCGGATGTTTCTCCAAGCACATGGCAGCTCGACATCCTCAAAAAGTAGCACTCAGTATCAACTGCATCGAGGTTCGATCGACGAAATGGCGCCATACCCTGGTGTGCCCGCCGTTGTGGGTATTCCCAGAACACAAATAACTTCAGCAGCAGGTGTGTTAGGTATTTCATCATAGGGTATGCAGGAGGCTAGCCGAACAGAGTAGGCCAGCGTGCACCTGCGAAACGGTGCCAAACACCCACGCTAGAGATTCTGTAGGCACCAGGGAGAGGACCAAGGTACGAGAATCCGTCTGCTCGTCGTCAGCATGTAATGATGGTCTGGTGAATTGCCGTGCACCGCCGTATGTGGGGCTCAAGAATGGAACCCGCTGTCTCTCCGCCGTGCACTGACGTTTGTGGGGCTCAAGAATGGAACCCGTTCTCTCTCCGATCGTTGGAGCATTTGACAAGCGGCTTGGCAGGGACTGGCGCAACAAACAACGCTTGAGTTTCGTAATCTCTGCACTTGCCACACTTTCTTGCCGCACGTTCTCAACCGCTCACCTGCCTTCCCGCTCTGACTCTGTGTCCCTGTGGCTCACCTTTTGCCCCCCGCCAAACTGCAACAACACACGCGGTCAAAATTGTGCCGGTCCGACGAAAAAGTATTTGAAGTTCGTAGGACGTAGGAAGAGGAGGCGAGGCGGGAAGGAGATTCGAATTCATAGTTTTTGGAAAAAGTGGGAGTGCGTGGCCAAAGATTGAGGGGGGAAATGAGAGAGCTACTATAATAGCAAGAAACGGAACAGGGAACAGCGCCACATGTGAGAGCACGAAAATCAACCCGAGCGTTGCCACGACGAATTATTATCGTATGGACCCGCCATGAAGCCTATGGCCTTTTACTTATAGAACCTCTCGTTTACGCAATAAGGTACATGTAAGGCTTTTATCTCTGTGCAGAAACAAACAGCCGCGACATAGACGATGCACAACGAGAGAAATTGGCACACAGCTACTTCATCGTAGCGTCCACGTAGTCCACGAATACGAGTAAGCCGTTGCAGTGAACTGGGGCTACCTTGTTGCGTTGATGTTAGCACTTCAGGAGGAACGGCCGGAGCAAAACACTAACTACTGGGTAGATATGGTACGGCATGAAATATTCAAAGACGTTACGAAACGTGGAATATTGTACATTACTCTGCACTGCTGTAGGCACCTGCTGTACTGCTGTAGCGCACGGAACCGATAGGGAGCTGCAGATATTTTCAAACGGCACATATCTAAATACGTACGCGACGGGTGGTTGAGACTAGTTTTCATTTGCAGAACGCACATCTGCGAACCCTGCCACCAGTAGTGAGATTGTCACTCAGGTCTGCGAGAGCGATGAAAGGGTGGAAAACATGCCGTTTTCAATCGAGGACCCTGCCTTTTCTTTCGCGGAACTCAAGAGTAGGTGAGCATCAACGCCGCAGACCCCGTGCAGCCCTCCTGTATCTGCAATTCACTGAAACGCCTGCAGCTCTGATTCCTGAGCTGGCTGCAAATGGTCAACAATAACCAGCGTTGGATCGAACTCGTATGTCCTTTCCGCTTTGAAGGGAATCAAGTTTGTATGGATGCCATCCATTACGCGACAGATAACACTAACCGCTGGTGGCTCCCCAGGCCCCTCGCACCCTCCGACGGCTTCAAACTGCCAGCATTAAAGCGACGGCGGACTACAGTACGACGTACGAGAGTAGGCTGTACCTTTCCGGGACTCGTGTCTCATGCATGGCGATAGTGTTCGGATCATTGGCTCTCGCACCCCGTCATAACAGGGGCACGAAATACATCGATCTAGGTCTCACCGGTCAGATACGTGTGCACCTTATGGCAAGACGGCTATCAGCATCTCAAAGCTTACCCCAACAACAAGCCCTGCCGAAGCATGATATAGGCTAATAGTACATCAACTCGCAAAGAAGAGCTGCTACATTTGCTGCCCATTAACTCGCGCTTAGGAGCCGTGATCTCTGGACGTAATCTCTGTGACATGCTGCGCAGAATACGGCCTCTAAAAGGCCTCCGGACCGGCCACGATCCACGATCCCTCGTCAGCTATCCCTCTCGCCGTTGCACGGAGCACATCTCGTTCGTGGAAGAGGTTCGTTGGCGTTGGCGCGAGATTGCTGCCGGCGGCGAAAGGTCCTATCCAGTTGTCATGTCCTTTCGCCAAAGGTGGATAAACCCGGATATACCTTGCGATGCAGGTCCTGCGTCATCCTGAAGAAAACCGCTGTGAACCCACTGTTTGACATGCTATCCACCAGCGTTCGCTTTCGCTACGTCGCGCCCACCACCGCACCTACCGACACAGGCCGAAAAAGCGCAAAACTCCAAGACGGCTGGTACCCAGTGGAGAGCCCTCCCAGAAGCAGTCGCCCTGTCAGCTTGCGGTGATACAAAAGAAAACACGTGTCGTCATCGGCGGTAGAACTCTTCCATCGCCGCGAGGTACTCGCCGCCGGCCATCTGTGACAGATCCGCCCACATGGGCTTGGCGACGTCGGGACCCTTTCGATCTCTGACCCGCAGGAGCGCCATTTTGCTGGCGACCACCGGACGCCAGAGCCCTCGGTCTACCTCCGCCTCGAGCTCACCAGCTTTCCAGACGGTAATCTGGAACGGATTAGCGCCAGAAGGGTTTGTCGGAAGACAAGGGCTAAACAGGCCGTGGCGGCGAAGGCTGGGGGGGGGGGGGG